TTATCATTATTTATTTATTTTAATTAATTATTTTATCAAAAAAATTTTACTTTATCCTTTAACTTTTTCAAAAATAATATAAATAAATACATAAATAATTTTAAAATTTTTATTTTAAAAAAATTTAAGAAATAATTATTATTATGAGAGAGGGACGGAATACGTGTTTGAATTATACAACAAACAATTATTATTGTTTAATCAATGCATTTAAACAAATAATTGAAAATCAACATTTTCGACTTTTTAAATTAGACAGGTGTACACAATTCAATCACTGTTACCATTAAAAAAAGGGGAGGAATTCTCAACGGTCAAGCCGCAGTCTTAAAGAACTGAAGAAAAACAGCACGAGGAAATTGCAAGGAAAGTCACTGGAAAAATCCTCTTTCATCAATTAATAAATTCTTCCCAGGCCAGCACAAAGTTGTGGAAAGCTATGAAAAAAAACAAAAAGCAAAGAACAAAACAAAAAAAGGTATTGGATTCCATGTTGAACAAGTCGTTTCTGGTGACTGCGACGTGTTAAGTCGGCAAAACCTAATTCAATTATGTATCTTATCAGACACTACTAGCTAGCTGAGTCGACATATATGTGTCGACATGAGCACATTGTAGATTTCATACTTCAAAGTGAATGAAAAATGTGCGCAACAATGTGAACCCCATTATCCCTTTTAGTTGCGAGGCTGAAAAATAAATAAATAAAACACTGTGTGTGATGTGTTTATATGTGACTCATACTTTTTTTAAAAAAAAAACTTTTTTGTTAAATTATCCCTCATGTTACTAGGGTTTAAAGAGTCAAATTAATTGATAGTTAAAATTTTACTTTTAGTTATTCTTTTCTAAAAAGTTACTTTTTAGTTTCTAAAATTTATTATTTGAGTCTTTTTAGTTCATTTGTTATTTTTTTACATACATGATATGTTATATAACAAAATTTTCAAAGTAAAGAACTAACAAAATCCTTTTTTTTAAAAAAAAAAAAAAAGCTTTTTCTTAGCTTTTTTATTTTGAAATTTCTATTATCCAATGCATCATGTATATAAAAATATAATGGAAAGACTAAAAATAAGTCAAATAAAAAACTTTTAGGATTAAAAGGTAGTTTTTCTTAAATAAAGAGACTAGAAAAGAATTTTTTTGTATTAAAGTAAATATATCAAAATAGAATTTTAACCTTAATTGATTAATGATTTGGAGGCCAAGACTTTACTACTTGGTTCTTCTTTTACAGATAGAAAATTATAATCCAGCTACATATGAAAAATGAAAGTAATTATATGATTTCTAGTCTAGACCAAGACACAGTGAAGTCTTTGTTTATGTATGCAGTTTCTTTCATCCTATTTAATTTCTAGACGCTATGTAGGAAATTTTGTGCATCGTATCTGTTGCTGAATTATTTCCATGGACTAAATATAAAAAGACTTTACCTACTGCATCCTTGGAATTTTTCGCATCTGTCCAACATTTTATTGTGTTCTGAGATCAGCATCATGTTGCATTTCTTCATACCTTTATCCTCCATTCCTCCATCTCCTTCGCCATCAACTTTCCAAAAAATATCTTGATTCATAAGCCAATAAGAAAAATGAATTAATTATCAAAAATCTCTATAACAACTTTATTTATATTTTTTATTTGTGCTGTGGAATTCCCCGTCTATATATGAAATGATACGTCACAAAAAACGACTCTTACTATTGAGAGGGTAACAAGAAAATTTTTTTTCAAAGGACCATAATTGGGATATAGAAATTAACCATAGGGGAGTTAATTAAAAGGCACGTATATCTGCCTAAGTCTTTGTCTCCAGTTTCTCTCATCTTAATTTAGACGCAACAGGAAATATTCTGTATGGTTTTTGTTGAAAAATGATGAGTGTGCTTTAGTTATGTACTTTGGTTATTATTATTTCCATAGACTAGTATAATGACTCTACCTTAATTTGTATGCTTAGAATTTTGAGGCTCTATACTTCTATGTATCTAACCAACAATTATGTTGTTACGAACTTATTACATCATCCCTACATCCTTCTCCTTCGTGCCCTTTGGTCCATGTAACTTTTCAAGAAAATTTTCTTGAGTTTGGTGCTAATAACTAGATATCTATGATGAATTTCCAAGATTTTTTCTTACAACTTTGATTCCTTCCCTATTTGTTCCGTCAACTTTCTAATTGATATTATGAATTACCATTCAAATTCTGAAACTTCAACATAAATGATGTATAGAATTTTCCATGACCTTGTTATCAAGTGTATAATAAACATATATAATGAATCAATTATTAAGAAATTTTCAAATGACTACCATTGACTAAATGAATTTGTAATTTACATTATTGAACTCAATCAAATGTGATTATTAATGAATGTTTTCATGACCTATTGGATGTTCAATGAATTATTAAAAATCTCTATAATGACTTTACTTTTATTATTTGTTTAAACCACGAAATTTACTAAAGATCAATGAATTGTATTAAAAATCTCTTTAATTATTTTACTTATTTTCTTTATCTATACTGTAAAGTTTACTACAAATCAATGAATTGTTATTCACGCATTATAAAACTATGACATAATTTTAATTGAATATTCTACCATCCTTATCACGTTAGTTAAAGTAAAGTCCTCCCTTAACAATAAAATCTTGAAACTTTCCAAGAAACATAATAAGTTTCCAATTTTCCCCCCTCATCCAACACCCCACAAAGATTAAAAGTCCTCCCAAATCAAATCTCACACATTCCACACCCTAACATAAACAATCACACCAACTCCCGCCCCAAGTATTTAGATTTTCATGCCAGAATCCGTGTCCAATAACGCATATTGTGACAATTTGTCACGAAAAAAGTAAAAAAGAAAAAAGACTTAATAAAAGATGCCAAAAAAGATGTGGTCCATTAAGGTTCATAAGTTACAAAATCAAGAAACGCGAAAGACGACCTAGAACTTATGACACGGTCGCACCATAACGTTTTTTAAGTCAAGTCATCCCCAAAAGTATTTGTAAATCTTTTGCTTTCGTAACACAGGAACCCACTGCTTTCGTCTCCTTGATGACGCATGAGATCATACCTATATATTATATCCACCATGAAAATATATGTATTGATGTATAGGAAGCACCTTGCTTTGTGGGCCGACTGAGCAATAGTTAATTTTGAAGGTGCGTTTTTACTTACTAGTATGATATTAGGTTAAATTCTCTTATCTCTTAAAATTTGTATTTGTTTAAAAAAATATATTGGGGTAGGAAGTTAGGTAGATTTTATTTTACATGATTAATTGATATGGAATATCTTAAGTTTTGTACGGATGGTTTATTTAATTTGTAGATTCTTTTCAGGGGAGTGCCACGATTTTTCCCATTGGGGCAAATGAAGATGTTGGTCACGAAGCAAACAAGCATCTTTTTATCCGAATCACTCTTTTCAGTTTTCACTTGATTGGATTTTAAAAAGTCTTTTGGAGGCACTCTTTAGTTGGTTCCTTTTTTATAGTTAAATTTAAGTTAATCATCTTGATTAAAGTAGTTGGTGATGTACGTTCCTAATCGTCTTCTACCAAAAATTAATAAATAAACCTATCGATTGTGGAATTTCAGGTCTTTTCATAAAGTCATTCAGTTTAGTTATATTAAAAGGAAAAAGATTAGTTATTTGTTCTTTCATTAAT